GCCCTCAGATCATCAAGGTAATAATTCTCCTTTGAGATGAGGAAAGTGAGTTCTGGCTCTATCAGGGGAATAAAGGCCCCTTTAGTGAGAAATTTGAGCTATTCTCTGTGTACCCAGCCAGGGAGCAGGCAATACCTCCAACAGCTTTTCATCACCTCCTCTCCATCTCTCTGCACTGCTGCTCCTCTCCTGTATCCGCCTGACAAGCCTTTGTCTGATGATGGATGCCCCTTCTCAGACAAGGCTGAATTTTTTTAGAGGTGCCTCTGTTTGTTTTGTTTGCAAAAATACATATATTTGTAAAATAAGAGCGTGTCTTACTAATTTGGGTTGGTTCACCTGTGCTACCTAATCTCAGTTTAATTATCAGTAAAGACTGTAATTTAGGTTAATTGCTTAAATTAAAGCCTTTGGGTTAAACTTGGGCTGCTAACCTAAATTCAAACCCTATTCATTTTGACCATAATTTACTATTTCATCCCAAGTTAATGAAGTCCTGCTGGTTACCCTGAACTTTTTTCCACAGGGGACCACACGACTCACAGCATCCCTGTGCTGTGGGGATGGGGACCTCTGAGAGACCTCCTGAGTGGGAGATGAGTGTCCATGAATCTCATTTCCTGAAGGGATGAATTAGGATGAACTCCTCAGAAGCTTTCCCATAGGTGTTGCCCCGTGATGGGTGTTGCAGCCCTTTGAGCCTGTTCCCAGCGGTATCTGGAGGCCAGTCAGCCATAACTACTAGATGACTTTGAAGTGTAGGTGTGACCTGCTTTCTCCAGATAATTGTTTTCTGGGTTAACATGGAGACACTGATGCAGCCCAGGGTTTTGGAATAACTTCACCTTCATTACAGCTGTTGTTGCCAGATGCTTTATACGGAGTGGGGAGGTCTCCTTTCCCCCAGTGACTTGTTGCATCTTGAAAGAACCTCTGACCTTAGGTGGGTTTTAGCTGGTACCTCCTTTATCCTGTTCTGCATGCAACAGATGATGGTACCCCTAAAAGAAGAAGAAGAAACCTAAATAACCCAAATTGTGTTGAAATACTTTTGGAGCTTATCTTTAATCCCTATGTGCTGCTGGGGCTGTGACCTACACTGAGCTCCACCTGGAAAGCAAGATCTTTCAACACTGAAGGTTATCACCGCAGTGTTGTAGCATCTCATCCTTTCTCATGGCCCCAGGGTACATCTCTTCTTCTGATAAAGAAAACCGAGCCCTGGGAGCGGTGCTGCTGGAAAGTCCCATTATTTTGGTTCAGCTCTGTGCTGATTTGGTGTCAGCTCTGTCCCTCAGCTCCATCCCACACTGAGCATTACTCCTGGTTCAAGTTTCCATGCAAAGAGCCATAGCACTTGTGCGAAGTTCAATTTTTCCCTATGAAAACTAACTGGATCCACACAATGTTGTTCTCAGAGCCAGTAACATAAACAAGGATTATTCATGTGTCCTGAAAAGTGTATCCAGTCACAGTGCACCAATTTTATGGGACCTCATGTTTATTTACCATGCAGTGCTATATTGCACGAGCCCAGAGGTCCCCGCTGCTGTCCTGCAGCACTTGGCATCACGTGCAGCCAACTCTGATCTCCAACCACTCTGGGCCGCAGGATGTTGCTGCCCTGTTTTAAATAGCAACGCTCAGCTGGAATATGCCTCGCAGATGGTAGCTGGGATTATTGTTCTGCTGCTGGTTTTGCTGTGTCCTCTGTGACCTTCCCCGCAGCCATTTTGTGTCTTATTTCATTTGCAGGCTGCGTAAACTCTTTGCAAATTAAAATAATTCTCTTTGATGAAAATTCTGCTTTTGAGTCAAAAAAAGCTGCAAAGTTCCATTTGGGAAATGTTAAGGGAAGATGTTTCAGCATTCCAGAGACAGGATCGTTCCCATAGGAAACACTGAAATGAAATGTTGGTTTTTAAAAAACATTTCACCTCATGTTTAAGTTGCCAGCTGAAATCACTTGTCAAGTTTGACTTGGATATGTGAGTTTTCCAGGTCTCTGCAAATCAGAAGGTGGTAACTAGAAGATGACTCTTTGCATCTGCTGTCTGCTTTCTCAGAGATGAGGTGGTAGGGTGAGCTCTTGAAGCACTTCCTGTGGAAACAGAAAAGAGACTGATACCTACTCAGTGATTTTTTTGCCTTGGTATCATTCTCAGACCACAGGAGAAGGACCTGATGTCAGCCTGTGGCACCAGACTGATGGAGACTGTAGCGATGCCCAGGTGCTGTGGGGATGGGCTTGGCAATGTGCCTCACAACCAAGTAAGTTTTATGGAGGGTTCAGCATTGGTGGTGACCCATGTGTTCGCAGATGATGCCACAGCAATGTGCTGTGTGCACTTCTGTAAAACAAAACAAAACAAAACCCCTTTATTTTTAGACAATTTCCATAATTTTTTAAAAAACAACCCAACAAAAAATAGTTTGGCAACAACATCCCAGTTGGGACATCCTGCCTGTTACAAATGTCTCTGCTTTGCAAGCTTCACTTGATTTCCTTGGAACAGTCTAAGAAACATGGTGAGATGCTTCAAAACTGATGCAAACTGTTAAATGGATGAAGCCAAACCCATTCACCCTTCACAAAACCTCCTGTGGTGCAAACGGGCCGTCCCAACTTTTTAAAGCCATCGTTTCCTTGCCCCTTCCCATGGGCTGGAGGGAAGACTCATCCGTAATGAGCCCCACCCCAGCCCCACGGTCGGATGTCAGGACATGAGCCCTTGCAGAGCATCACAATACCTTTCTCTTGCTCTGAGTCCCCACCTGCTGGAGACACTACGCTGGATTGTCTGGTGCTTGCACACGATGGGTGTCCAGGATCCTTTTGACTCAAGAGCTTGTAAGTGTTTCCCTGTGGTGAGCACTTTGGCGTGCTGTTGCACGGGGTGCTTTTGCCTTGCAGACGTAGAATCATAGAATCATAAAGGTTGGAAAAGACCTCTAAGATCATCAAGTCCAACCATCAACACAACACCACGATGCCCACTAAACCATGTCCACGTGGCTGATTCTCCCATCTCCTCTCACTCCCTGGGGTCCTGCCTGGATGAAACCCCAGCTGGAGTTTGCAGAGGATGAGGAATGGGTTGGTGGATACCAACCAGCCTCCTTTTGGGACCAGCATACCCAGTGGGCTGCGGGTCCTTCTTTAACTGCTTTCCTCCTGCTCTACCCCTTTCCTCGCCCTTGGTTCATGCTCCAACTCCTGCCTTTGAGGCTGCGTTCCCACCTCGCACCGTGCTTCCCAGTCCCTGCTGCCAGGATTTGTGCCTGGCCCTACAGCCTTGCAGGGAGCAGGAGCCAGGGGCTGCCTACAGAGCCACGGGAGGGAGCCCAGGAACAGCACGGGAGCCTGGCTGAAACCCTCCGTCCAGGTAGGTCTTCAAAACCTCCCTGGGGGGCTGGATAGGAATCACTGAGTCATAGAAAGTCTTGGATTGGAAGGGACATTTAAAGGTCATCTAGTCCTACCCTCCTGCAGTAAGCAAGGACATCTTCAACTAGATCAGATTGCTCAGAGCCCTGTCCAACCTGACCTTGAATGTTTCTATTCAAGGAACTGGGAGGCCAGGTGCTGCGAGCACCTTAGAAGACCTCAGGTTCATTCAAAGTGAAGCTGAGGCCCCAAAACACTCCTTCCAGAGGAACAACCAGGATGTTTAATGAGATATATGTGTGTGCTAGAGAAACCTGGATGTGTAGACACTGCACACACAGATATTGGGCACTTTGTCCTGTGTCACCCCTCTTTACTAGTGCTGCCCTCCCTCCAACTGCTCTTTCTAGACAGGATGATGTTTGGCTGTTCCGTTCCCCGCCCCGATTGATGCTGTTCTTGCTCCGTCCTTGCCGTGGTGTTGATGCCAGAGCTGGGCTCCTCTGCCGTAGGATTTCCTCCTGTTTGCTCTGTTAACTATGGCCAGGCTGCACTAGGTGTGAACTCCTAAATCCCAGCTAAACCTTTGGGAATCAACTTCCTTTTCCCACTCCCCTGCCCTCTCTCCCTCCTGCAGTGATGGGCAGAAAGGGCAGCTTTGCAGTTAACCACCACTGTGGGATTCATCCAGCTTTTAGCTCAGCCCTGAGGCAGCTTTTCCTCCCCGTTCCTCAGTTCTCCATCCACCCATCCCACCCTTCTTTCCCCATTTCCCAGCCTGTCTCAGAGCCACAGCAAAGCCTCAGTCCTAAAATTGAGGTTTTATTCCTCAAGGTGATCTTCCTTTCTCATTAATTACCTACAGAGAGTCCCCACCACACACATCTGTACTTAGGTCAGTGGAGAAGAAAAGCCAAAATGCAGCAGATTTTAAAAATGACACATGCTCTTTATTGGACCATACAGTATGGTAGGCCTGGAAGTGAAGAGGCTGTAGCCATGAGGACAAGGAGTTAGAAATCAGTGTGGCAATTCATATACACAGAAAGCAATAACCTTTCCCACAGGTGCCTGAGAAAACAGAAGGGGCTGGAAAAATCTTTAGTTGCAGATAAAACATTTGGAGGTTGTAACACATGGCAGAGGCTTTTCGAGCATCTTGGAGCTATTTTCATTGCTGAGGACCCAGTGCTGTGGTTTCACAAGGCTGTCATCCTTGTTTTAAGATGAATGAAATGAATGCGCGTGGCCGAGCGCGGCTGTCCCCGTTCAGCAAAGTGCTTCCACTTTGCTTTAGATGTGTGACTCCAGGAGGAGAGCAAGGGAAGTACAAGGACTGTGCTGAAAGAAGGTCACCATCGAGGTCCACAATGGCTCTCCAAAGCTCTGGCAGTGACCTGTTACAACCTATGCTTTAGCCAAAGGTGCTCCAGATTCTTGCGATGGGGTCCTGGTCTCCCTCCACTGCCCCAGAGGTGGAGGGTGAAGGACGGAAGAAGGAGAGGGTCTAGCACAGCTATTTACACCATTGATTTCATAGGGCAGCACTTGCTTTCGGAAGGCAGGAAACACGTTGTCGTCGTCTGTGTGGGGGGGCCCGTGCTCACCATCCTTATCTGATGGTCTTTTTGCTAGTGGTGGTCTTGGAAACAATCCTCACGCTGCCTCCCGTGCTGGAGCTGATACCTCGGCTGCTCCCAGAGCTGAAGGTGCTTCCTCCTCCATAGCTGAACCCTCCGCTTCCGCCTCCGAAGCCACCACCACCGCTGCTGCTCATGCTGTAGCCACCGCCGCCTCCCATGCCGAGACCTCCGCCCATGCCAAGACCTCCACCCATGCCCAGGGAGCTGCCTCCGCCGTAGCCCACCCCACTCGAGCTGCTGACCACGGCTGCAGAGAAACACAGCACACACCCATTGAGGGTCCTGCTGGCTGCCCAAGGTAGGGGGACCTGCACCACCACACCAGTGGCAGTGGGGCAGCGAGCAGGGGTGGAAGGGGGGAAATACTTACAGACGCTCACAGCTCCAACTCCCTCTCCGGCAAGCCTGTTGGGAAAGGGGAAAGTAAGCAATAATGCCAAAACACTGACAAAATACAACATTAGCCACTGGGACCATCTAATTAGACCTTCGTGGCCTTTAGAAGGGACTGTCCTCCTGTGGGGTATGACTGCATCACAGGTGAAAGGTGATTTGCTCATTTTTCTTAGTGCATCAGGTTCCAAGAGCTGGAGAAACTCATCTTTTCCTGGAAAGCTCACAATTTAAAGTATCCTTTGCTCTGCCCTTGTTTCCCATCTTGGTGCTCTTTTACATCTTTACCAACTTGGTGCTCCAGCCCGTTGAGGTGAACTGTCTCTTTGAGCCAAGGAGATGCACCCTGCTCTGAAGAGCAGCATGCAATAGGTCCGAGCGCTTGCCCTCACCTGCTCTCCTCTCCTTCCAGCAGCTTCCTGTAGGTCGCAATCTCGATGTCCAGGGCCAGTTTGACGTTCATCAGTTCCTGGTACTCACGGAGCTGTCGGGCCAGGTCAGCCTTAGCCTTCTGCAGAGCATCCTCCAGCTCAGCCAGTTTGGCTTTAGCATCCTTGAGGGCCAGCTCCCCACGCTCCTCTGCCTCAGCGATGGCTGCTTGGAGGTTGGCACACTAAAAACAAGGGAAACAAATAGTTTAACTTGGGCTACCCCAAACTGCTCTCCTGAGTATTGCTATGTAGATTCTGGCTCCCAACATGAGAACTCCCGATGGGCCATTGGGAAGGTGCCATAGGGTGGGTAACTGGGGAGATGCAGCCATAATCCTGTCCCCCAAGAAAAGGGGAGACATCTACATCTCTTTGCTTTGCTACACACCTTTGCTGGGGTGGCTTAATAACTCACAATGTGCTTCCCCAGCAAGGAAGCGGAAGTCACAGCACGTCCTTGCACTGAGGGACCTTCTCTGTTGGGCAGAGACAGAGGTGGCCATGCCCTCTTCAATGCAGGGGAGGAACCCTGACCTTCCAGCCCTGCTCTAATGCCAGGAGCTGGCTCTTTCCACTGTGCCTGGCCACCATCACCTCCTGCCTGCCCTCCATCATGCAGCAGCTGCTCTGCAGGAGCATTGCCTCCTACCTGTTTCTTCACACTCTCAATCTCATTCCGCAGCCTCTGGACCACCCTGTTGATCTCTGAAATTTCTATCTTGGTGTTACGCAGGTCATCACCATGCCGCCCAGCAGACACCTGGAGTTCTTCATACTGGTATGCAGAAAAGAGGAGAGCATTAGTTAGGCACCATGGGACTCAGGGAAGGGTGAGGAGAATTCAGGGCACAAAGTGCAGGTCTGGATGGAGAATAACATTCCTCTGAGAAGGCTGCCTGTGGAATAATAGCATTTGTCTTTAGTTATCAATATATGCTAAGGCAGCAGCATCTTGTGCCTTGGTTCCACCACAAGGACTATAAGGCTGATCAAGAGTAGTGGTCCACAAGCAAACACTGGGGATCTGGATGCAAGAGCCTATTGCAATACACATAGAAAATAAATTAACCTGTGGTGTAACGTTGTGATCCTTCCTCTGTTAGTCCTGCCTCCCACCAGCTAGTGCAATGTCACGTGAATCCCAGAAATCAGTCTGTCATTCTGGTGACCCACCTTGTTTTGGTACCAAGCCTCAGCCTCAGCCCGGCTCCGGTTGGCAATGTCCTCGTACTGCGCTTTGACCTCTGCAATGATGCTGTTGAGGTCCAAGTTACGGTTGTTGTCCATGGAAAGGACCACAGAGGTGTCAGATACTTGCTGCTGAATCTGGGTCAATTCCTGCAGAAGACGCAAAAAATTAAAGTAATGGTCTGGTATTTGGGATGGAAACCATGCAGACAAGAGGTGGCTTGGGAGCCCTCTCCACCGAGCCATGTTCTTGCATTTCCCCCTGCCCAATCTCCCCCTTTTCTGTCTTATGCCCGTGTTATAAATTTCAAAACCACAGTGACCACCTTCTCTTTTGCTGCTGTACAGCACCGAGTGTGGTGGCTGGAGCTCCAGGACATGGAGAGCTGTACAACAGGGAGCTGTGGATGATGCTATTGTGGGGAGAGCTGACTGCTTACCGCTTCATAGAGAGCTCTCAGGAAGTTAATTTCATCTGCCAGTGTGTCTGCTTTGGCCTGCAGTTCCACCTTGTTCATATAAGCGCCATCCACATCCTAAAGAAAAGAAAACCAAAGACTTCTGATGAAACCACAAGCCAAAGGGGCTTCAGGACACCAGTGAGACCATCTTTCTACTTCCAGGTCTGTTATTCTTTAGGCTTGTTTTTATATTGCTGTGATCAAAGTGGGGTTTTTTTGTTTTTGTTTTTTTTAATGTAATGTTGGACATAACAGAACCACATTCTTGGGTAGAAAGCAAAGCTCTAACTCACAGGGATGTGACCCAAGACAGAGCTGAACTGAGCCACAAGAGGCCAGGTGGTTTGCAACTGCAACGGAAGGAGCTATCTTCAGAAAACAGGGCAGCTTCATCGGCATGGAGGTGATTCCCATTCATGGCCTCAGGAGGACCCAGCCCATAATTACTCCTAGATGTGCCAATACCATAGCCTGACCCAACCGTGAGGTTGGAGGACTGCAGCTCCCATCAGCTTTGCTTGAACTCTGTGCATGCTGAATTAATTTCATTGTCCTTCCTATAAATCCCAGTTCACTCACCTTCTTGAGGACCACGAACTCATTCTCTGCACCAGTGCGCCGGTTGATCTCATCTTCATATCTGTTAGAATAAAAGAGTGAGAAGGTTTTAGTGGAAATGAAGAGCAAAGCCATGGTGTGAGTAGTCTGAGCTAAAATTAGTAGATTTCAATCACTGCCCTTAAAGTCAAGCTCATACAAAAATGTGTGCAGGATTGGAGCTCATTTCAGTAGGAAGGAGAAGCTTCCTTGGTGGAAGCTCCAAAGCAAGTACCATCCTTGGTGACCTTTGCTCAAAGCAAAGTTATGCAAATGGCTTTCAACAAAGCTGCATTGCAATGCCTACAAATATATAATAATGTAAGGATTTGATCGTTGATATTATAAGAATGTTAATGACTGTGAATAACCCACTGCAGCGTTTAATTAGAAAAAAGAAAAAAAATCTGTGATTCTTGAGCCGTGGTTGCGCAAGAGCAGATCATTATGCCTCAGATATGTTTCTGTGGAACTTTTTATGGCTCTGAGCAACATCCTCTCATCAGATAATCAGGGCAGGGCTTAGCTAGAAAGTAAGCAAAACATGTAGGCTGTTGAGACAAAGACCTGGATTTTAAAGGCAGGTTCGTGCCAGTCCTCTAACTAATATTGGCAGAGATATCCCTGCAGATGGATCTCTGAGAGGATATGGGAAGAAGTGGAAAATAGCCAGTGGACTGGGAACCAACTCTAGACTTGAAATAAAATGTGTTCTCTTTCCTAGGCAGTAGCTCCAAAATCCAGACAATATCATTTGTCATTTTTGGCCCGATCAGTATTTCTAAAAGCCTACAATCCCTATCAAGACCTGAAATGCACCCAAGTACAGCATATCAGAAGCTATGTCAGTCCATCCTGTCAGCTCTAAGTGCCGTCTCCCCATCCACCCCCCTCCAAAAAAAATATCTGTCTCATCACATGCTTAACTATCACATATAAACATATTTCAGGCCTCCAGGGTGTTTTTCTCAAATTTGCACTTGGCCAGATCTGGTTGAATAAGGGAGAGATTGTTGTCGCCAGACTATAGCCAACTAAAAATGAACAGCCTCACCTAAAAAAACCACCTAAATGTCCTTTGTAGTCAGCAGACACAGACTGGCATGTCCTTAAAATGATTCATCCCTCCTCTGCTGGACACCTTATCTCAGAATGGGATTAATTGCCTCCCCAGGGAAATTGTTTTCTTTGACAACGGTCAGAGAAAAGAGCATCTTTCATGTGATCAGAGCCGAGCGAGGCCAAGCACACGCAGATCGCCCGGGGCCCTCTGGAAAGGCTGGGATTTCCTTTGCAAAAAAATAAATGGGGGGTTTTTGGAGCTGGCAGTTTGTTTGTGTTTCATTCCCTTTTTACATGCCCATTGTATTAATGAGTTTTTATCCATTTTTCTGTCTCCAGGTGTATTAGTTTGGGATCAGATCGTGACCGCCGTTACACCGGAGCAGCTTCCCACGGGTGCATGAATTCTGTGCTAAATGCTGATCCTGCACGTATGAAATCTGCCATAACTCGAGGTAATTCTGAGATCAAGTTTTGCTTTTATATGTTCATTTCACAAACTGGAAGAGGAACCCAATGCAAATACAAGGTGTGCACCAGCAAGCGTCAACCACCTGCCCTGATTTTCCCGTCTGTTAATCATCTATGCTACAGAGCACGGTTTCTTACTTGTTCTTAAAGTCTTCCACCATGTCCTGCATGTTCCTCAGTTCAGAGTCCAACCTCCCCCTCTCTCCCATTAGACTGTCTAGCTGCCGTCTGAGGTTGTTGATGTAGGCTTCAAAAAGGGGCTCAAGGGACTTCCTGGTGACTGTGTGACCTTGCTCTTGGAGAAGGCTCCACTTGGTCTCCAGCACTTTGTTCTGCTGTTCCAAAAAGCGTACCTGGGGAGTCACAAAAACAGGCACATGCTGAAACCCATGTGAACAGTGCACAAAAAAATGACTTCCAGGAAAAGGAGGGATCATTCAACATAAAAAGAAAAGGTCAAGAGGCACTGGGGCATTCAGGGGGAAATTATTAGGATCTTCCTAATTTTGGGCACCAGCTTCTTGAAAGTATCAAAAGCAGCTAAGATGTTTAGCGAGATTCATCAAGAGCTATTAAGCAGGCCAAACATATATTTGCTATTTGAGGTATTTCTCCCCCAGCCGGATGCTCAGCCCACCTTACTGGTTTAAGTTGGTGTTATCCCATTGAGTTGTGTTGGGGCTTTGCCATTTTACAACCAGTAGAAGATCCATCCAGCCCATGGGATGATTTTTTACAGGGAAGATGGGGATTTACTTTTTCAATAAAATAAGGTGCTGAAAAATTCATCCTTGCAAAAGGGAGATATCAGACAGTTCTTAGTTTTCAGCCAAAGCCATGCTGGTTTTCGGCTGGGATTCGTTCAGGCAAGCCCCTAAATCCAAAGGAAGTTTCTTCCTGTTGTTCTTTCCCGAGGCAAGTGATAATATACACAGGTTGGTGTTTAAAACCAAACTCTCACCTTGTCGATGAAGGAGGCAAATTTGTTGTTGAGGGTCTTGATCTGCTCCCGCTCCTGTGTTCGCACCTTCTGGATTTCTGGGTCGATATCCAACTTGAGGGGTGCCAGGAGGCTCTGATTGACGGTCACTTCCTGGATGCCCCCAGGTGGGCAAACAGGGAACCCAGGGCCACCTCGACCACCAAATCCAGGACCTCCCAGCCCAAATCCACTGCCCAACCCATAGCTGCCACCACCACCAGCTCCTCCTAAGCCAAAACCAGCACCTGCTCCGCCACCATAGCCAAGACCAAAGCCAGCTCCTCCACCAAAGCCGTATCCACCACCAGCTCCACTCCGTAGACCTCCACCGACTGAGCTGTAGGAAATTCTTTTGCTTCCACCCAGGTTATAGAGACTTCTGCTGCCGAAGCCACCACCAGCTCCGAAGCCTCCTCCACCTCCGGCTCTTCCTCCTCCAACTCTGGAGACAGAGACGGAGCTAAAACTACTTCTGGTACCACTGCCACCTCCTACAATAGCAGAACCTGAGCTAAAGCCCCTCATGCCCCCTCCAGTAGATGATCTGAAAGACATCCGGCTCATGGTGGCTTGTTCAATTGGAAATACAAAGAGAAGGAGAGGGGGGAAATAAAAAAAAAAAAAAAAGGCTAGTGAATAAAAGCTGCGCGGCAGGAAAAGAGCAGAGGGCAACAGAGACAGAAACCCCTGTGATGGGAGAGCTTTGGAGCCTCCTCTTTTATCTGCTTGGAAAACTTGGCACGGGAATTCAGAACTTGACGTGCCTTGCAGCAACTTGCCTTGTCAAACACACCTAGGCTACAGCGAGGCGCTGAAAAATGCATTGTTTGCAGGCAAGAAAGTAACGGAGCAAGGGAGCTCCCCCCCTTCTACCAAAGCCTACTGCTCTGAGTCATTAAATTAGAATTGAATGGGACAACGCTGAGCTCTGAGCTCAGGAGCAGGATGCAACACGATTATTCCAAGACCCTGGGAGCCGGTTTTCCTTAGGCGAGCCAAGAGTTTGCTCGTTTGAGTAAGGTTCCTCACGCCAAAGCTTTTGCAAAGTGAAATTTAGAGTTTAACCCATCACACAGCAAACAGGGCAGTGTAAATAAGGGCTTTTCTGAGGCTGCCAGCTCTGGGACTGGACGTGTGTGTCCTGTTACTGACTTGGGAAACTGAGGGTGAAGGTGGTTTTATTCATCGGTGGAGGTCTTTTGATTTCTTTCAGAAAAGGGATCTAAGTGGTCATGGGCTTGCAGAGAATAGCTGAGTGGAAGTTGTACCTTGGTAGTATTTTCTGGGATCTTACCAAAAAAATTGTTTTCCCTCATTGCTGCGGAAACTGAGAAATTAGGTAGCATGGCTTTCAAAGGCAGCAGGTAAATCCCTTTTCCAAAATAACTTTAAATTACATTAAATAGTACTATGAGACTTATAAAATAGTTATTAAAAAGATGCTTGAAATGATTGCTCTTCTTTTGAATCTCCTTGTCAGGCTTACAGTTCAAAAGCTTCCTGTGAAGTGGTATTTTTATCACTTTTTTTCCGCCTCCCCCTGTATTTAACCAGCAGTTTCCACGTCATTGCTGGCTCCAAGATGTTCTGTGAAGGGGAATTCACTTGCTTTTCTTCCAGCCCTCTCCCACCCCCTCCTTCACTCTGCTGAGATCATTCATCCCCCGAGGAAGATTTTTCTAAAATAGTTTTTACCCCTTGATCTTGGGCTCTCAAGTGAACCCTCTCCCAGGAGCTTCAATCCTTCAGTGAGTTTGGGTTGTTCTTTAGGATGGTGTAAAGGCAGGAGAGCTGGGGACCTCTTCTCTTGTGTCCATGAAGAGCTGGACACAGGTTACTAGAGAAGATCTTCCTTTCCTCCCACCCAAAATACTTCTGCAAACCAGACTCTGCCCAGTTGCATCCTTGTTCCACAAGGGCTTCCCGCCTCATCCAGGTTTTATGTCAGGTAAAATAATAGGGCAAAGCAGAGAGATTAAACCCTGAGCGGGTAAATCACAAAGGTTCTCAAAATCAGCTACGTGAGCAACTAAGTACAGGAGCTTAATCCAAAATGAGCGGCTTAAGGGTATCTGCTGCGTCTCAGAGCTTGTTTCTGTTGATGCGTTTCCAACCGCTGTTTTCTCTGTCTGGGAACTTGAAAGAACCTGAGCAGAAGGGTTGGGGTTGTTTTTTTTTTTTTTTTTAATTGTTTTGTTGGGTTTTTTTTCTCATTGCAATCAGAAAAAGCCAGCGCTCACAACTATCATCTCCTGGAAGTGCTCCTGTCACTAGTTATTGCCAATAGCGTGAGTCATCAGCACCTACAGCGCATTTGGAAGAGCTATCGGGAAGCCGATCCTTGGATGGGCTGTTGCAAGGCACCCTCCCGCTGGAAGGGAGATGGCTGGGCGGTAGCAAGGGGGTGCTCTCAGCTCAGGAGTGGAGATGTGGGAACCTCCTGGGTGCTGGAAATGTAGAGTTTTGCAGGGAAAACTGCACCTATGTTTGCACATCCAGAAACAACGAAACCCAATTTCATGAGTGACGTGCCGTGGCAGTTAACTCTAACACCAAATCAGAAACAATTCCAGCAATATTGCTGGGGTCAAGCTGATGTTGAAAATAAATAAATCACATTACAAGCGTGGCAGATGTGTGGAGATTTGCTTTCCTCAGCCTGCAGATGTGAATTGGCACATGAGTGCTGGATCCTGTGGATGGGGGCCAGGCAGGGAACTGCCTTTGACTTCCAAAGAGCTATGCAAAGTCACACCTGGGAACCAGAGCACAGCCTGCAAATGTTTTAATTAAAGCAAAGAGAAAGGATTCATGTTGAAGGCAGTCATTACCTCCCCAGCTCTTCTAGGAAAGCCTGTTGCTGCAGACAACAGTAATTAAGTGGAATATTACAAAGGATTTGGAAGAGTAAATCAAATGATTGTTTAGGCACCAAAGGAAGGAAAATTGCAGTATCTCTCAGTCCCACACAGTTTCCTCACTTGGTTTCTGTCACTCATGTGCATTGTCCTCCTGAAGCTGCTCTGGGTCACAAGTGGGATCATAGAATCGCTTGGTTGGAGGGGACCTTTGAGATCATCAAGTCCAACCGTACCTGTCCACTATTAAACCATATCTTCGAGCACCCCATCTACCCATCTTTTAAATACCTCCAGGGATGGTGACTCAACCACCTCCCTAGGTAGCCCATTCCATTGTCTGAGAACCCTTTCAGTGAAGAAATTTTTCCTGACATCCAATCTGAACCTCCCTTGGCGCAACTTGAGGCCATTGCCTCTTGTTCTATCACTAATTACCTGGCAGAAAAGACACACACCTGCCTCGCTACTACCTCCTTTCAGGTAGTTGTAGACAGTGATAAGGTCTCCTCTCAGCCTGCTCCTCTCTAGGCTAAACAATCCCATGTGTTTGACCCCCAGATGGGATGTGTTTGACCCTCAGACGGGTTGGATGCTGCCATGGGGATGTCGATTTGGGAGGCAGGATTTGCTGCCGTGGGGTTGCTGGGAGTAGCGGTTGGTCTGAAGATACAAAGCAAAGGGAGGAGGAATGGGGCCAGCCGAGATGTTTACCTGTGAGCATCACTGTTGGACTCTGTTGTTTGCTTTTTTTCAGCACAGACTAGAAGACATACATGCAAAACTTTCCAGGTTAGTTCAGGTGAGGTTGTCATAAGCTGTATTAATTCCTCACATTCGTGCTGTGTAATTCAGTGTTCACACAGGTGACTCCAGAAATCGAGGTGACTCAGAGTTTATTTTTAACCTTCACTAATTTTTTTACCTATCTGTCTGCAATATCCAGGGACTGAAGAGTTGGGGTTTTGTCCCCAAACTTTGGTCTTTCTTACTGTGTCTTCTTTGATTTTCGGGGTGAAGGGAGAGTTGATGCTCCCATGTTTCAGTGCATCTGAATTTCAATGAGGTTTTGCTGGAGTGGTTGCGAGCATCTGCTGTAAACCTGCTGGGCTGGCGTGTACTTACTTGCTCTTTCCCATTTGCTGCGCCGGGTTATGTAAAGTCGGGATGTTGAGAGGTCAAGGAAGAGCGAAGCGTCTGTCTCTTTGAAATGCAATAAGGTGTGAGTGTTTGTCTGAGGTTTTGGGTTGGTTCCCCCCCACCTCCCCCTTATTTCTTTTTTATTCTCCTTTTGCAATGACCAAAATACTTGCATTGGTTCATGAGTTGCTCTGCTCCAGCTCACCGAAACCCATCCTCAATCTAGATCATCCTGATAAAATCCTCCCCCAGAGCCCTGCGAACGCTTCTTTTTTCTTTTTAAGAAAGAAAACATTAAATACTGGTTTGGGTTTTGTCTGGTTTTTTCCCAAGCTGGTAGAGCTGTGCAATACCCTCCCTTCCACGGAAAAAAGGCTTTTGGTTTAACCTCAATCATGTGTTAAGAAATGAATGGTGATTAATTTTTTTTGTCACTTAATGGATAAACCCCCACCCACTTCCTCCCCCTCCTTTTTTTCTCCAATTCTTCAATTTGCTATGGGACAACTGAATTCAAGCTTTTCATTATAATTCTATCAAAATTTTGACATTTTTCCCTCAAAGTAAAGCAAAAGCCTCCTCCAGCTCACTCTGTTGAAGGTTGGGAATATTTAATGTTACTGGTTCTGTTTTAGAATAAAAAGATGTAGAAACAAATAAATTACAATCCAGTTTTATTTGACACATTCCAGAAAGAGAGAAGAAGGAAAACACAGTATCATACCGCTATCACTGAAGTATAAAAAGCTGCAATTTTCTTTTTTTAATGGTATTTTCACAAAAATAAAAAGATGTGGTGGAAGGACAGAGGGGTGAATTTTATTAGAAAGGGGAAAGTAGATTTTGGGCACTGCTCTGCCTTTGGGCTCCTGCTCCCAATTGCTTCATTTCTCATGTGCTGGGCTGAAACCTGATGGCATTTTTCACTTTACCAAATGTCTTTCTTTTGGCAGAGAAACCCACACTTAGTAAAGATGTTGCAATACCACCAGGAGCAGTGTGGACATGGACCTTCAGGCAGTTTTTTCAGTGTAATTTTCACTGTCTCAGACTTTCACCTCGACTGCTGCTACCAAGGCAGTGGGAAAAGTCAGTGAGACTTGGACTGTTGGATTTTGGTGGTTTTTAAGCCATTCCAAGAAAGCCTGGCATGAGAGAGGGCAGCAACCCCATTTAACTGCAAAACCCAATCTTGCTTTTGAAGAACTCTTTGCCTCAGTTATTATTTAAAATTTTAAAATCCTATCACTTAGAAAACAATCCCCTTTCCATATGCTTTAGATCACTCACTGATGGCTCCTTTGACAAAATACACCCACAAGATTATGTGTAAAGTGCCACTATGGGCAAATTTTCATTTAAGAAGAGAAAGGACAGGAATGAGAGAATAGTTTGGGCTTCCTTTTAGATAAACTCATTGCAAGTTGACTCTGCATCCCTGCGAGTGGTACTTTTCAGATGGAGGTATCACAGATTGCTTTCCTAATATTACTCTCTGAACCACTGGCCAGGCTTTGTGCCTGACTTCACACACCTGAAATACTCAGCACATCTGGAAGAAAAGTGTTTTTCAAAGCTTGGCTGTGAATGTGGGGGAAAAAAGCGATTTTCCATCGCACTGGAGTGACTCAGAAGTGACTCCTAACAGGCTCTGTGCTCCCATAAGAAGAGATATTTTTAAGAAGGGCCCCACGTTTGCAAACCACTGCCTGGGGTCTTTCAGCAACCTCCTGGGGTATTTCTACATAGCAGAAAAATGACCCACATCTCTGATAAAGATGAGTTGCTTGAATTGAAGGAGTGAGTTTGGTTCATCCCAGTAGTGAAGGCAAAGCAGGCTGAACAGAAGCCAAGTTCCCAGCCCATCCCTGAGCTTCAGTGGGCCAGAACTGAACTAAAAACCCAACTTTTTGCATCTTCATTGCTGTTTGATCTGTCTTAGCTGATGGTTGTCAGCTAGCCACAATCACCAACAAGCTGCTCAGCCTCATTCAAAGCAAACAAACAAGCAAAAAAAACCCCAATTCCCCATTCAGAAAATCACTTAGGCCCTTGTGTTTCCTTTTAATCCTGGTTCAGGTAGTTTGAGGGATCTGGGTAACAAATGTTCCACTGCTTTTCTTCAACTGTGATCCAAATGCTTCAGAACTACGGTGCTAGGAGTCGGGGCAGAGGTAGGTGGAGAGGATGGTGGTGTGCAGGAACGATAAAGGAGTCATGCAGGAGCAATTTGGGAGCAATGGTTTTGGGGAGGGCCTAGTGTTGGTCTTACTCAGGCTGTGTAGCATTCTTCAGGCTTTGGCTTTTTATGCTCTTTTTGCTGGAGGAGGTTTTAGAGACGATTTTCACACCTGGGTTGGTGCCTTTTGCACTTCCAGAGCTGAAATTCCCTCCACTGGTGCTCAGACCGCTGCCGCCACCTCCTCCGTAGCCAATACCACTTGTGATGCTGAGACCACTGCCTCCTCCAAATCCACCTCCAAGTCCACCACCACCCCCAAGTCCAAGTCCTCCTCCGCTTCCAAAGCTGTAGCCTCCACCACCGCCTCCAAGACCAAAACCGCTTCCACCGCCTCCTCCAAGACCAAAGCCGCTTCCACCGCCTCCTCCAAGACCAAAACCACTTCCACCGCCACCTCCTCCGCTTAGGCTCAATCCACCAAAACCTCCTCCTAACCCAGCTCCACCAGCCATGCCAGAGCTGGAGCTGATGACAGCTGCAAGAAAAAACAACCAGAGGGTCAGACTTCTGCTTGGCAGTCACCCTCTTCCAGAAAGCACCATCACCAGGGCAGATAGTGACAGAACAAGGGGTGATGGCTTGAAACTGGAAGAGGGGAGATGGAGCTGAGATGTGAGGAAGAAATTCTTTGGTGTGAGGGTGGTAAGACACTGGCCCAGGTTGGCCAGAGAAGCTGTGGCTGCGCCCCCCTGGGAGGGGTCGCGGGCAGGGTGGATGAGGCTTTGAGCAACCTGGTCTAGTGGAAGGTGTCCCTGCTGATGGCAGCGGGGTTGGGACTGGATGAGCTTGAAGGTCTCTTCCAACCCAAACCAATCTGTGATTCTGTTCTATCAGTGATCAGGATCTGGACCCACAGGGCTTGAACCCAGCTTCTGTCCTCTGTACAAGTCACTAATGCTGGTGGAGAGCTCTGAACATCTTATATTGGGCAAAACCTCCCTTTTCCCAAGGCTGACCACAGCCTCTACTCCCAGTGGGCCCAAGACAAGCACTGTGATACTTACAGTAGCTGATGGGGTTGAGTCCCTCTCCGCTCAGCCTGTTGGAGGGCAGATAAAGGGGAGGTTAGAGCAAAATTAAGGGACAGGGAGGGGACCCAGTTTCTGGCAGGGGCAAATCTCTATTATTCCTACAGGGATTTTGCTCCCACCTGCTCTCCTCTCCTTCCAGCAGCTTCCTGTAGGTCGCAATCTCAATGTCCAGGGCCAGCTTGACGTTCATCAGCTCCTGGTACTCACGGAGCTGGCGGGCCATGTCAGCTTTGGCTTTCTGCAGGGCATCTTCCAAGTCAATCATCTTTGCCTTGGCATCTTTGAGGGCTAGCTCACCGCGCTCCTCAGAGTCTCCGATGGCCGTCTGCAGGGTGGCACACTGGAAGAGGAGGGATTGGGACTCCTAAATGCTGCTTTTCTTTTTGGGTAAGAGTCACCCAAGGAGGAAAACCATTCTGGTTGTGGTGTTAATGAAAGAAGTTATGGCTGAGGTCATTCACCCATAGCCAACATTGCTGTTGTTGGAATCCCAGCCTGGCAAGAGTGATTTAATACGTGTTACAGCACGGTACCCTTTTCAGGAGGGAATTCAACACATCTAATGAGCTACATCATCCTCTGTGGCTGCTGAAGTCCCCAGTCAGCAAAGCAGTGGGTAGGCAGCAGAGCTGCAGTGCTAAGAGACCACAGAACAGGCCTCTCTGAGCTCCTTTGGTCATTCCTACCTGGTTCCTTGTGTTCTCTATCTCTGAACGGATCCTCTGGATCAGCCGGTTGAGCTCAGAGATTTCCCCCTTTGTGTTGCGCAGGTCGTCCCCATGCTTCCCAGCCGTGGCCTGCAGCTCCTCAAACTGAGGTTCAGAAGTGAGAGTAAAGCATGTGAGATGACAAGGTGGACAAGATGTGTCCCAAA